TCTCTGCCTTCCCCGCGCTAGGCGCGGGTTTTGGTGCGCCGGGCGCATGAGACTCCTTGAGTCTCTGCCCGGCCAGCGCATGGCGCAAAGACTATTGCGCTAAGCGCGAGATAGTCTTGGGGTCTCTACCAATTTAATTAAAACAAAGCAAAATTATAAAAACCAAATTAAATTATATTGAGGCCTCAATATAACTAAAATAAAAAAATATAAAAAATACAGTCGTCACATGAGTTTTTGAAAGGTATGTGAATGTCTTCCTTACATCAAACCCTGTTGCAAACGTACTGAACAAGAAATACAATGGACAATTAAAAAAATGAGTTAAACAAGTACATATCAAATTAATTAATTGGATTAACAATTCTATAAGTCAATAAATAGCGCAATACATGCACAATATTTCTAATTGTGGAAATAACAAAAAGTAAAACCAAATTGGCAATTATAAGAGATGTCAAAATCATTCTCTTAAATCCGATTTACAGTCCATACAAAGTCAAAAAAAGTAGAAAAAGTAAGAAAACATTTGTTCACGAATCTCGTGTGTGGGTGCATGGCAGTGGCATCAATTCATCTGTTTTTCCACCAATTATATTTTGAACCTAAATTTGAGAGAGAAAACCATAACTGTAAAATTAACATTGACAAAAATTATCAGAAACAAAAGTAATCATCAGGACAAGATTAGAACATATCCAACCCTTTGATTTTCCCAACTTATATTTTGAACCCTAGATTTGGGAGAGAGAGAAATAGGACAAGATTAGAACAGGTCAAACCCTTTGTTATTCCGGATTATATTTTAAACCCTAGATGTGAGAAAAAATGCAGAAATTTAGAAGAGGAAGAAAAGCTAAAACCACAACTATAGTGAACCTTGGCCAAAATTATCAAAAAAAAAGTAATTATGAGAACAAAATCAGAACATATTAACTCCTTTCTTTTTCCCAAATTTCATTTTGAACCCTAAATTTGAGAAAATGTGCAAAATTATCGAAAGCAGAAGCAATAACGACAAATTTAGAACTAATCACACCCTTTTCCCCCCTAATTATGTTTGAACCTATATACTTGAGGAAGAAAAATACAAAGAGAGGACAATAAAGACAAAATTACAACTACAGATAGGGATGAAAATAAATAAGTCTTAAATAGAGAACTATAACTAAACATTTATAATGACTGGTCTAACCTGATTAATTTGTATAATAAAAAAGTTTGTTAGAAATATCAAGTCCACGTATTTATCTATGTAATATAATAATTTTTTTTAATACATATTACATTATTAATAGTATAATTAAATAAGTAAATTTATAATAAAAAATTAAATTAATATTCTTTGCATTTGTTGTTTTTACAAAATCAAAAACAGAAATTCTAACCGGATCTTCGTATGAAATGAAAACGTTTTACATTTTCATTGTAATCTGTAAATAATATTTCTCTTCTATATCAACTTATTAGTTAGTAGATACAAAAATAATGGCAAAATATAGAATCTGCCACATGTATATATAGGGGTGCAGTGTTATTGTCTTTTGCATATAAAATTGTATTCAATATTTTTTTTGCTTTTGTTAATTTTCAAAACTTTCATGATAGTTATATATTTAAAAAAAAAAATTCTAACAATAATGAAATAAACCATTTTTTACTATGCAAATTAAGAAGAAAAAACTTGCATGTATATTTAAGAACAAATTTATTAATTTATTTTAAATTAAGTTTATTATAGTTTATTTAATATCGTAAATACAAAATAAAATTTTAAATAGATTATTATGAAACTTTTAAAAAGGTTAAGTTTGGTTTATAAAAAAATCTATGATAAACCTTAATTTCATAAAACATGAATTACCTATGCAAAGTCTGACGTATTTTTAATCCTAACTGCAATTAATATATTGGCCAAAATTAACAGAAACAAACGCGACCAGTAGGACAAAATTAGAACATATCAAGCACTTTGTTTTTCCCAATTATATTTTAAATCCTTGTTTTAACAACAACAAAAAAAAAATGCATTGAGGAGAGGACAAAAAGCTAAAACCACAATTACAGTGAACACCGGCCAAAATTATAACATGATTTGAAAATAAATATATATAATTTATAATTAAGACAAAATTAGTAAAGACAAGATTAAAAGTCATGTATCGACATAGTTTGATATCATTAGATAATCATGTTCTTTAAATATGTAACTAAAGGTTCAATTTTCAAACTTCTATATATTTTCAAAAAATATTTGTTAAAAAAATTAATTATTCTTTAAATAAATCCTAATATCTAGAAGGATCGATTAATCATTTTCGGTCCCCAAAAATCCTGATACACCTAAAAAGGAAAGGATTAAGAGTCGTATTGTTTTTATAACATAAATCATATTTTTATACCATATATATGTTGGAACACTCGTCCTCAATTCGTTCTATTAAAAGAATTAATTTTCTCTGAATCAATTCTACACAGCTCTGAAACCATCCAACACTAAATCCTTCGATGATAGGATTTAATTGATAAGGAACATTAATAGCCGGCTTTAGCATAAGTTGTACACGCTGCAACAAATAAGTTTCTAGTCTACATATACTATTATTATAACAACTCACAAGGGTCTCGTAACATTTGAGTATAAATTTCTCTATTAACATTTATAGGTGAAAAAAATACAAAGAAAAATTGAAAGGCATTTTTTAATGCACAGGTTGAAGTCAACTCATCATAAACTAACGGGTAAAAGTTCTTTCATACAAGAATTTTTTCTTTTTAAAATGAGTTAGTTTAAACTTATAAAAAGGTTAATTTCATTTTTTGTGGTCCTCAAGTGATTGCTTAGGTACATAGCAGAAGTTTGTAATGAGCAGCAGAAATGAAGTTAGGAAGAAGCTGATGAGGGCATAGAAAAGGCACAACCAACAGAAGCCACAGCATCAGCATCAGCATCAGCATCTAGGGTTCCCTCCATCTCCGCCAGTGCCTCACAGAACAAGTCAACGTGGCAAGGGAGCCATAAGGGACCATCGTTTCTATACCCGTATTCTCTCTCTGCAGCGTCCAAAAGCGCCTTGAACAAAGGGTGGTTCGCGATCTTTATCTTTATCACGAACCTCTCCCTCTCGGGTCCAACGTAGACGCAAATGCAACCCTGTGGGGTCAATCCACACTTGTTCTTCTTATTCTTCTGTTGCTGTTGTTGTCTCTCCTTGTTTCTCAACCTTCCATAGCTTCCACTCTCATTGTTTTCAGGGTGCAATCTCTTGCTGCTTCTCAATACCCTCTTACACTTTTTCACAAACTCCATCATGTTTTATAATATTTACGAGAAAAAAGTGTTGAACATGCGAGAGATGGGAAGCAAGAGATATGGGAAGTTTAAGGTTTGTGTCTTTATATAGAGCAGTTGCAGTTGGTTACACGCTAGTCTTACTCTTTGGATGCATGTCAGTTTGCGCACGCTGTGGATTTTCCAATGGGCGGAAAGGGATAGATGCCCTCTTCAATTCTCCATTCTTTTTTAATCCCTTTTCTACAAATGCAATGTCTAAAGTGGTAATATACGTGGACTTAGTCAAATCTTACCATAAGAAACTCATTTGGAAATTTTTATTATGTATTATGACGCGGGTTAGATATCACTGTCTGCTCTTTAAAAAATTCTGATCCGCTTATATATTTGACGTTGAATTGGTATTTGAGTTTAAGTACCCCATGGCTGACCATTCACACATTGGAAAACTGTCAAATCGATCCATTGATATTTTTTCAAAATAATTATTATAAAAATTCATAAACCTATGCTATGCAATGATTTGTAATTAGTTACTAGTATAAACTTGTTTTATATTATTATCACATAACTTATTTCTTTATGTTATAATATAATAATACCCGTCAAAGGAATTTTTTTTTATATACATAATTATAGTATAATAATATCATTCAATGTTTGCATAATACATTATATTGTTAGCATGTTTATAGTACAACCCATTTATATATATATATATATATAAATTTTCTTATATTGTGTTATTTTTTTAAATTAGATATCACTTTATTATAAGATTTAAATAAAATAATAGTATTAATTTTGATTTTTTAAACTTATCTTTAGTGTGTGTATATATATATATATATATGATTGTAAATAATCTTGTTAATTATAATTATAATTTTATTTATTTGTGCATCTAAATAAATTATTATTAAAAATAAGTTAATTTATCTATTTTTTAATAAATATTATACACATATAAAAAATTAAAACATTTTTAATTATTAAGTGAGTCGATTCATCAATTCATTGGTAAATAGGTTAAAATTTTTAACCCACTTCATTAAGCAAAACGAGATAGGTTCATCAGCATTAATTCTTACATATTAGTGGCAGAGCGAGTTGAAGAATCATTTTGTCAATATATATAAATAAGAGATCAACTTATTTAAAAATAAATTTATCTAAACTTACTTCTTTTAATAACTAATATTTTATATCAAATTTTAACGATTTAGTTGTTAAATTAAAAATTTTTAATACATAGATCAAGTTTAAAAAATTTGAAAATTATTTGATACTTTATTTTATTGATTAATTAATTAAATAAAATATTAAATAATTTTCATATATATATATATATATATATATATATCAATATCTTATTTGATTCGAGTATAATTGTCTCCCGTAAATAATGTGTGATTTGTAAAACAAATATTAATAATTTAACTTCAATCGGATAAAAGTTATATTGACAAAAAAAAAATATTAATTTGTCTATTTTTTTATAATGTTAAAAATAGTTAAGAAATTAAGTTTTTTAAATGCATTAAAAAGTTACAAAAATTTCTTTAAATTTTAATCATTACATTTATTATTTAAAGGGATTATTAATAAAATCTCATATAACAATATAAAATTAAGAACCGGTAAGGGTAAATTCGAGGATGTGGTTGGTGGGTGAGAACAGGAGAAAACAAGTTCCCCGCCGCAACCAAAGAATGATCAGCGGAAAATAAATAGTTATATTTGTCGGATAATCATTTTTATAATACTTTTTTATGCTTTCATTTTTATAATATTATTTTTATATTTACTTCTTTTTTATCTTTCATAAATCATAATTATAAAAATAAAAATAAAAACACAAAATATTATGTAACATTACGAATTTAATTTTCATAAAGTATCAATTAATAAATTAATCAATATAATGTATACAAAAACTATAAAGTAATCAGTATAGAATTTATTTTTTAAATTATATAATAATTTAAAACTGAGTAACACTAAGTGTATACAAAAAAAAAAAAAAAAAAAAAACTCTGCAGTTTGACATCTTATAATTAAATTTAAAAAAAGAAAATGCAAATGAAGTGGTGGTGGCGCGCTGTCATTCCTGACGGGTAATTGGTTAGCGTATAATGACCATAACTTTCCATTTGCATTAATGGGTTTTTAATAGGTCTCCGTCTTCGTCTCTGTTAAGTCAACTGCGCCTTTCTATTTATCTATTTTAAAGGGATACATGAAGAATCATCAATTTTTTTTATCTCTATTTTTAGTTAACTATAATACTCTTATTTGTTATCAAAAATAAATTAAATAATTGCTATATTTTTAAGTGATCACTTGGAACCATCAATTTATTTATTTTTATTTATAATTTTTAAAATTTAAGAAACACAAAATACATCTTCTTTTTTTTTAGTAGTTTTTATAATATAAATAAATAGAAATAATGTTTTAAAAACTATACTAGTCTTCAAAAAGATTATGATATTAAATAAGAAATAAATCAATAGGTCATTAATTAAATTATATGACCTAGTCTTTAATAAATTTTTAGTAAAAATATTCATGTTATATATATTTTATGCCTATAAATTTCAATACCATTCATTTCATGTTTTAAAAAATATTTATAAAAAAAAATTATAGTGAGTATGATATCGATAGAACAAAAAAATTATAAACTAGTTAAATTATATGAATTAATATAATTAAATATATAACTTTAAATTAAAAATATATGATAAAAATTACTTAAGTTAATTTTTATAACAATAAAGTATATAAAATTAGTGGTTACTAATGTGTTAAATAATCACATTCAATTATCCCGTTTTATCTAAAATATTTTTTTACGAAGAAATACATGAAAAAGTATTTTATTATAAAAAAATTAATCATAAGCACCATTTATCATAAAAAAATATTATATATATATATATAACAATTAAAATCACAAAATATGAATTTGTGTAGCGTTCATTGATGCAGTCCAAAACCACCACAACCTAAGTTCAATTCTCACATATATATTGCAACTAATCACAAGAACAACAACAGAAGAAAATTACATCAATGTAAGGAGAAAAACAAAATTTATACCATTTTTAACTGTAATAAGTTTTGAGATGTCACCCCGAGTCAAATGTAAAACTCATCGAAATATTAGCTCGAATCAGTGTATTATTCGGGTCTTGATCGATCCAGTTTAAGCAATTGGTCTAAGATGGATATTAAAACTATGGATAGAATTTAAATACATAAATGTAACGACCTATCTTAGCTATCATACTTATGGATCATCTATCACTAACAGCGAAAAGACAATTAATCACCAGAAATTATATTTGCAATAACTAGGTAGGTACATATATCATGCATATAAATGTAAGAGCAAATATACAAAGTATAAAGCAATATACACACACATTAATATTGAAAGAGTAGAATATAAAATCTTAAATTGTCGGTCAAGCAACATCTATATAGACCAACAAAATGTAGTTATCAACTACATCAGCAACAACATGGCCCCACATGATCATCACAGTCTAAATCATATAAAAACATGTAAGAGTAAACTAAATTTCAACAACATGCAAGTATAGAAAGAAAATATCTATACCACTAACATAACTCACATGTAAACCAACTCTAAACACCTCATGGTTTACCACTGTCACCAATTCAACAAAGCAACCAACATGTTTGAAATTTAAACACTCAAGCAATTTAAACATTCACCACAATCATACCATACAATAAGGTATTCATTTAGTGTATATGGACAACAATTAATGCACACCAAATCACATGCATGCACCACGACTAATATGTTGTCATGCATTCACCTACAAAAATCTCCTAATACACTTGAGCAGTCTAAGTTTCTCGACCTTACTGAAACAACTTGATCACTTTCACATCCACTGCGCTTGCTTGATCGACAACTAAAATGGGATATCAATATCTACTTATGATTTCTAGGGTGTAGCCACTTACACTAGAATAGTTCGATTCCTCGGTTAGACATACTACGACTTTGACATGCATTACTAAGTTACTTATGAAATTAACTCACTAATTATCCTCAAGGAACCACACAACATTTTCAATATTTAGATAGGAGTGGTAGCTCTCAACTTCATACTTTACTCCATATTGACTAAAGTCTTAAAGTAGACTCAACAAAATCTACTCTAAGAGTTTTCAACAATTGGTCTCCTAGAACGCCAAAACAAGATTCCCTATATGGGATCTTCAACCTTCAAACAACACCGTCTCTTCTAGTCTTAAGTCAATCAACATACTTTAATGTATACAACATTCTCAATATCAACGCCTCAACATACATCCTCTATATACACTACTCCAGGTCAATGCATATAGAAACAAAATCACACCAATCATAATTAGAATACTAATACTCAACAATTCTTCCAAGATTAGCATGTCAATGCTCAACAATTTATTTAATAGTGCCTACTTCAACTACATAAATATAGCATGTTAGTATTATATTATCACCATCCTATATACAACATGCAATAGACTAAACAGTTTTATTCATGTTCAACATTCAACTCACCAATTAATAATTAATTTCAAAACAATGCACTTTCGACACACTCAACCCGCGTCCAATGCCACTAAGGCAAGGAATTTTCTACCTCGTTAACGTTCAATGCCACTCAACCCTTACCTAGCATGACTGAGGTATGAAACCCTTGGGACCTTATGCTTAGCGTGGAAAAATTCACATATGGCTTCATATAAGACAGAGAGTCTTTGCCTAATCCACGTCTGATGTCACTTCACTACTATCCGACGTCATCTAGGCAGAGAGTATCTACCTTGATCACGTTTAGTGCCATCCAACTAGGGCCTAATGTCACAAGTCAAAGACTTTTCAATGCTCTAACACCCAACGCCATTAAAACCACACCCAACGGCACTCCAACCTGAGATGAGTCTCTCTCTTCACGGTTAGTGCTATTGATCTTACGTTTGGTGTGAATGACAAAGTGACCTCTAGTTGGAATTGTGTTTGATGCCATGAAGGTATGCCCTACGTGACTGTGATTTCTACATAATGTAGATGAAGAAAATTGTCTCATTCACCTG